AGCATAGTTGAAGAATTTTTCACACTTTCTTTACAACTGTTCAAGTTGATCTGAATTGCTAAGATTTATTCTCTTTTATTTGTGTCTTTTGTTAAAACCACTTGTTATCTACCTCTTTTCCCCCATGCTTGTTTTTTGTTTTTTTGCTTATTAAGTACACTGTTTCACAAGTGGTACTGCCCTGAACAAGCAAACAAGATCCTCGTGCATGTTAGGATGAGGAAGTAGTCTGTTGAATTTATTGCTGTTACAACAAGCTCTCTTTTGAAAACCATAGCCGGTGAGAGAATTTATTCTGCCCATGATAACATAATTATTGTGCTTTTTGCAGTTCCTAATGCGAGTGAAAGAGGGGATCAGGATATCTAGCAAGACTATCAAACAAAAGGGAAAGGTTAACGAGAAGCAGTTTTACCAACGGCAACTTGCTTTATACAAGGTATTGACTTTCCTAAAATTTTGAGGATTTAATGTCCTATATAATTAACACATTTTTTTATAATATAAATTATGAAACTCTGAGATTAATGAATGTACTTATATGATTGACAATGTTATATTTTTATATCTTTTATTGTAAATAATCAGTTTAATTTTATGTACTTACATTCAACTGTCGGCTGTTTTACACTGTATGAACATCACATTGCTGTAGCAATGGAAACAGTAGCAATGGAAATGTTGAATAAGTTGGCAATATGCTGCAGTGGGAGACCCAAACACAATCTTGCAAGGTTCAAAAAGAGTTCGTCCTCCTTTGACAGAGCTCTGTTAGTGTTCCCTGAGCTGACATTAGCCATTTGTGTGCTGTCCTCATCTCCATCAGGCAGGTTCCCATGAAGATTTTGGCTCCAGTAATTCATGTTTTCAGCGTGACACAAAACAAAAGTCAAATTTTCTATAGCTGGATGCAGTTTCAAAGCCAGAGTAAAAGTGAATGTCATCGCCACTACCTTTAAATCATTTAAAAGAAAACGTCCTACTATCGATCCTTGATTTTACTGATATAAAATTGGATTTCAAAACCTTTATTTCATCATCCTTTTCTCAAAGTAAAGCCGTCCAATGCTCAATCTCACGATCCTTCTCCTGGCAATAACTGCATAGTGTTTTCTCTTCGCCTTTCCCAATTCCGCGTGAACTTGTCTTTGACAAGCGCTGATTGACTGGTGTTTTCCATACTGAGGGCATAGCATCGTCTATGAGAACTTTAAGTCCACCAGGTGTTGTGTGGTAATCATCACTGTGAAATGAAGAGAACACGTTCGAATGTGCTCAGTTATAGTAAACAATTCCCTTTCATCACAACATATTTTTACCTTCCATTTCTTCTTTTTCGACTCGCATTTTGGAAAACGATGGAAGGATAGTTCTTTATCCCTTGATAACTTCAAATGGCAGAGAGAGCACAACAGTGGTTAACCATGGCCGACCCACTTCACTTTTCCCTGTTTCAAGATGGTGGATGCATACCTCCAGTGACCAGTCCCCGCACGGCATGTAAAAGGTCTATACAGACCAACACTGTCTAGTTAATCTTCAATATGCTTCAGCTGCCAATCTGAAGCTGTTTTCAGTAATACAAAACTTGACAAATAACTTTGCCTCTGCCCCAGAGTTGGACCAAATCGAGTATCGACTGTGTAGCTTTTTAGCTGGTTTACGGGCATTGGCAGTATCGACATGTAGGCGTTGAAAAGCGTTGTGGAAAATTGTTAACGCTGCCCTAGACAATAGAGAGTTAAAAGTTTGATTTACACTGTGATCAGCCATGGTTTAGGTGGCTAAGCAAGGTGTAGGTGACAGATATATCTACTTGCGGTTGCATGGTGTCTTGCACTCTGTGGTGTCCAGATTGCACCCTTGGGGAGATGGAATAAACGTATGTATGTATGTATCTCATTTGGTCACATTTTCGACATTTGTTTTCATGGCAAACGAGCGTACATCTAGATAGTCTGAGGTTTTCTTTCCACCATTTTTCAATGAAATTTCCATGCAAAAGGGTTTCAAACCAGAATTGGTAAGCAAAGTCATTTAAGGCACTTCCTCTCTCAGCGATTTCTGAAAGTTGCATGGTTTTGGAATTTGAATCGCCTGGTTAGCAAGTTAAATGGATGAAAACAGAAGTCACATTTACAGTGTGGACACTTGAACCATGTATGCTATGGCTTTATTTTCACTTTATTTTCACTTATTTTGTAGTCATTTTTTACATTTTTCCAGAGCTAACCAATCACATCCATAAACCAAAGCAATGGCACAGACATTTTTTCTCCTTTTTTCCTTGTTTTTATCGTTCCACGCAACACAACGTTTGAGATGCCTTTCAGTGCGCAATTACACATGTATACCAAACAATGTTAGTGGTTTTTTTGGCAGGAATTCATTGTCTCTCACAGAGATCAGACATGGGTTTTCAGTTCCGCGAAATGGCCTACTCTTCAGCAAATTATACTAGTAAGTACACTTTCATCCAGAATGATGCATTTTTAGATACTTTTGTTGAATTTCAGTTCTTTTGGGGAACGAAAAAATGACTTTCTATTATTTTTCTTGAAATAATTAGGCCAGTGTAATCTCAGGATTAATCAACAACAAGGCATCTACGACAATGGAAGCCCGTTACCAAATATTTATCGAGAGAGAGTTCTTTATCTCCACCTCCATGGATATTGTCAAAGACAAATTTCAGGCACAGCACGGGTTAGTATTGGCTATGTCATTAAAGTTGTTCAAAACTATGAGGACAACAACATGTGTCTTCCTCCGATGCGAAAATTAGCGACTCATAATGTTGTTACACAAGACATTGCCGATTACATTGAATCCGAGAAATTATTATTTCTTTTGGTATTTTTTTTATTTAACATTCTTTAATTCCTTACATAATTTCATTAATTTACAATATTGTGATTAAAAAAATAATAAAATAGTTAAATGGATATTTACATTATTATTGTTGCTTCTTGTTCAGGGGAAATTAAATAGAATAAAGAAGATACAAATTTGTGGGAGAACATTTTTTGTATCTACTGTAGTTATTCACACTTCTTACTATTCAAATACATACACTACGAACAATTATGATAATTTCTTGCATAGTTAATCAGATTATAACATATATTGTGGTGAGTAGGCTGGGATGAATATTGAGATTATTTTTTAATATTATTTGAGGAGATAAAAAATGATGCAAATTTGCTGGAGAGGGCATTTTCTCATGTTTTCAAGAGTTTTTCTATTTTGTATTTTAATAAGAGGTTGTTTACAAATATTCTAAGAATTATTGGTTTGTCTTGTAATTTGCAACTATAAATATAGTACCTCATGAAAAGCATCATGTAGTTAAATTTCTTTACTAGCTCTTTATTATGCGGACCCTTGTCTAGGCCAAAAAGTTTTTCTTCAATGGATGGGTTGAACTTTGAATTATTTCTTGCGTTGAACCATTTGATAACCTCAGTATCGAAGGAAATTACAAACCGACAATCTTTGAATGAATGGTCAACGGAATCTTTTTCTCCACAGTATAAGCAGTCGTCATCTGGTTTGATGCCAAAACAGCATAGCTCTTTTTTAGTAACTATAATGCGGTGAATCAGCTTAAACTGAAATTCTTTTAACTTGGTTTCTTCGCATAGATTTTTGATGGAGGTAAATGCTTTTTTTCCAGGAGTCTTCATTCATATGCATGGTGGATAGATTTTCGTTCCATCTTTTAGGACGTGTATGTTCAGCTGTATGGGTCTTCACATTTAATAGTTTGTAAAAGTCGCAGGTTTTGGCCTTATTTGAAACAAGTTGTGTGGATTCATTTAATTGGATGATAAAGTTTTCAGCAGAATATAATTCCTTCCTGGTTGGATCACTGAGTTTTGCTTTGTTTAGTAGATCCTTTGGAATAGCACGTATGACCTGATAGTATTGAAGAAAGTTTGATTTGCACGAGTATTTGTTGTTAAATTCCTGATACGACAATATATGGCCGGCGTCGTCAAGAAGGTCTTGGATGGATAAAATGCCCTTGTTAAACCAGTCCCTTAAAAAAAATGTTTTACCATCTACAAGTATCTCTTTATTATTAGACAGAATTAAATCCTGTGCTTGATCGAAATCATAAAGATTTTTCAATTCGTTGAAATACTTTAAAATACTTTGATAGAACGAGGGCAAAGTGTTAAGGTGTTCTGGATCGTAATTACACCTTAATAAGAAATTTAGTCCTCCTAATTTGCGTAAATAATAGTCTGGGATTGTTTTCCAATTTTGCCTTCCGGGAGACAGGAGTCTAGGAATCCATGCTAGCTTAAGAGCCTTAAACATGATCTTTATATCTATTATGCGTAATCCGCCTTTGTCCAGGTCCTGATACCGTCCGGATCTTTTAATTTTCTCTCTTTTGTTTTTCCAAAAAAATTTAAATAATTTTGTTTTCACTAAGTGTGCGAAACCTTCAGGAATGTTGAGGATCGAGGATGAGTAAATTAGTTTTGACAAACCAAGGGATTTTAGTATCATTACTCTACCAAACAATGTAAGATCTCTCGCTCTCCACATATCAAGTTTTGTTTGCAGCTTCCTTAGTTTACGATTGAAATTCCATTCGATATTTCCTTTCACCTCTTCGGAGACAAGTATTCCTAAAATTCTAACCGGGGTCCGAAGCCATTTTTTGAGTTTGTTTTTCTCCCACTTTTGTGTTTATTATTCTTTCCAACACGTACAGTTTTGAAAATTGGGGGATATTAGTCGGATATTTCCCAGTTTTAGCTGGGGCATAATCACTCACGTGAAGCGTTTAGACCAATAACGCGAGCGAAAATATTTGATGGATTATAACTACAGTTATAGCTCCGACCCTGTAGCCGCATCGCACGAGAAAAAGCCCGAATGGAGCGATCGTCCTAGGCATCAAATCCCCGCCTCTTTCCCGCATTGCCCCCCCCAACCCGGCGCGGGATTTACATTGATAGGTGCGTTACTGCATCGTGGTTTTCTTGGCTTCCTGCACTTTCTAGGCACGTAACAAGACAAAGCTGACACGGAACGTTTATTTACCTGTAACAATAGCTTGTATGGGAGATTTCTGGAATGTTCTTACACCTCGATAACAATAGTGGAATGCTCTTGCACGTTTTGCGTCCTTGACTGCGTCATGAAAATTACCTGTGGAGAGTGGCAATCTAGTGAATAACGTATTTATCGATTATTTGTAAGTACGTAAAGATTGTAAAGTGCTACTGAGCATGAACAGAATAAAAACATTTACTAGACCAAGTTTGATCGCACCGGCCAGTACAATGGACATCTTCCTTCCCCAGAATTTTGAACAGCTGTTTTTAACTAGTAAAATGGTCTAGTTCAAGAACACAACACGATGACATTGGCCGAGCTCGTATTCGAAACAGTTGATCTGAAATCAGGGGCACGTCATACACGTGATACAATAACTATCTGTCCACTGCAGTTCTCATCAAAAGCTAAAACATTATTTCATGAAATTACTATGAAACTCCTCACCAATTAAATTACCAAACGCGATAAAGACCCGATTTCTCCTAAAATATTTGATACACATTCAAGCACTGAAGAAGTAAAATAAAGGAGAATAAATATAACCGTCAAATAGCTAAAAGACAATTTCTTGATGTACCACCCAATTCTCAGANTACCTCTTTTCCCCTATGCTTGTTTTTTGTTTTTTTGCTTATTAAGTACACTGTTTCACAAGTGGTACTGCCCTGAACAAGCAAACAAGATCCTCGTGCATGTTAGGATGAGGAAGTAGTCTGTTGAATTTATTGCTGTTACAACAAGCTCTCTTTTGAAAACCATAGCCGGTGAGAGAATTTATTCTGCCCATGATAACATAATTATTGTGCTTTTTGCAGTTCCTAATGCGAGTGAAAGAGGGGATCAGGATATCTAGCAAGACTATCAAACAAAAGGGAAAGGTTAACGAGAAGCAGTTTTACCAACGGCAACTTGCTTTATACAAGGTATTGACTTTCCTAAAATTTTGAGGATTTAATGTCCTATATAATTAACACATTTTTTTATAATATAAATTATGAAACTCTGAGATTAATGAATGTACTTATATGATTGACAATGTTATATTTTTATATCTTTTATTGTAAATAATCAGTTTAATTTTATGTACTTACATTCAACTGTCGGCTGTTTTACACTGTATGAACATCACATTGCTGTAGCAATGGAAACAGTAGCAATGGAAATGTTGAATAAGTTGGCAATATGCTGCAGTGGGAGACCCAAACACAATCTTGCAAGGTTCAAAAAGAGTTCGTCCTCCTTTGACAGAGCTCTGTTAGTGTTCCCTGAGCTGACATTAGCCATTTGTGTGCTGTCCTCATCTCCATCAGGCAGGTTCCCATGAAGATTTTGGCTCCAGTAATTCATGTTTTCAGCGTGACACAAAACAAAAGTCAAATTTTCTATAGCTGGATGCAGTTTCAAAGCCAGAGTAAAAGTGAATGTCATCGCCACTACCTTTAAATCATTTAAAAGAAAACGTCGTACTATCGATCCTTGATTTTACTGATATAAAATTGGATTTCAAAACCTTTATTTCATCATCCTTTTCTCAAAGTAAAGCCGTCCAATGCTCAATCTCACGATCCTTCTCCTGGCAATAACTGCATAGTGTTTTCTCTTCGCCTTTCCCAATTCCGCGTGAACTTGTCTTTGACAAGCGCTGATTGACTGGTGTTTTCCATACTGAGGGCATAGCATCGTCTATGAGAACTTTAAGTCCACCAGGTGTTGTGTGGTAATCATCACTGTGAAATGAAGAGAACACGTTCGAATGTGCTCAGTTATAGTAAACAATTCCCTTTCATCACAACATATTTTTACCTTCCATTTCTTCTTTTTCGACTCGCATTTTGGAAAACGATGGAAGGATAGTTCTTTATCCCTTGATAACTTCAAATGGCAGAGAGAGCACAACAGTGGTTAACCATGGCCGACCCACTTCACTTTTCCCTGTTTCAAGATGGTGGATGCATACCTCCAGTGACCAGTCCCCGCACGGCATGTAAAAGGTCTATACAGACCAACACTGTCTAGTTAATCTTCAATATGCTTCAGCTGCCAATCTGAAGCTGTTTTCAGTAATACAAAACTTGACAAATAACTTTGCCTCTGCCCCAGAGTTGGACCAAATCGAGTATCGACTGTGTAGCTTTTTAGCTGGTTTACGGGCATTGGCAGTATCGACATGTAGGCGTTGAAAAGCGTTGTGGAAAATTGTTAACGCTGCCCTAGACAATAGAGAGTTAAAAGTTTGATTTACACTGTGATCAGCCATGGTTTAGGTGGCTAAGCAAGGTGTAGGTGACAGATATATCTACTTGCGGTTGCATGGTGTCTTGCACTCTGTGGTGTCCAGATTGCACCCTTGGGGAGATGGAATAAACGTATGTATGTATGTATCTCATTTGGTCACATTTTCGACATTTGTTTTCATGGCAAACGAGCGTACATCTAGATAGTCTGAGGTTTTCTTTCCACCATTTTTCAATGAAATTTCCATGCAAAAGGGTTTCAAACCAGAATTGGTAAGCAAAGTCATTTAAGGCACTTCCTCTCTCAGCGATTTCTGAAAGTTGCATGGTTTTGGAATTTGAATCGCCTGGTTAGCAAGTTAAATGGATGAAAACAGAAGTCACATTTACAGTGTGGACACTTGAACCATGTATGCTATGGCTTTATTTTCACTTTATTTTCACTTATTTTGTAGTCATTTTTTACATTTTTCCAGAGCTAACCAATCACATCCATAAACCAAAGCAATGGCACAGACATTTTTTCTCCTTTTTTCCTTGTTTTTATCGTTCCACGCAACACAACGTTTGAGATGCCTTTCAGTGCGCAATTACACATGTATACCAAACAATGTTAGTGGTTTTTTTGGCAGGAATTCATTGTCTCTCACAGAGATCAGACATGGGTTTTCAGTTCCGCGAAATGGCCTACTCTTCAGCAAATTATACTAGTAAGTACACTTTCATCCAGAATGATGCATTTTTAGATACTTTTGTTGAATTTCAGTTCTTTTGGGGAACGAAAAAATGACTTTCTATTATTTTTCTTGAAATAATTAGGCCAGTGTAATCTCAGGATTAATCAACAACAAGGCATCTACGACAATGGAAGCCCGTTACCAAATATTTATCGAGAGAGAGTTCTTTATCTCCACCTCCATGGATATTGTCAAAGACAAATTTCAGGCACAGCACGGGTTAGTATTGGCTATGTCATTAAAGTTGTTCAAAACTATGAGGACAACAACATGTGTCTTCCTCCGATGCGAAAATTAGCGACTCATAATGTTGTTACACAAGACATTGCCGATTACATTGAATCCGAGAAATTATTATTTCTTTTGGTATTTTTTTTATTTAACATTCTTTAATTCCTTACATAATTTCATTAATTTACAATATTGTGATTAAAAAAATAATAAAATAGTTAAATGGATATTTACATTATTATTGTTGCTTCTTGTTCAGGGGAAATTAAATAGAATAAAGAAGATACAAATTTGTGGGAGAACATTTTTTGTATCTACTGTAGTTATTCACACTTCTTACTATTCAAATACATACACTACGAACAATTATGATAATTTCTTGTATAGTTAATCAGATTATAACATATATTGTGGTGAGTAGGCTGGGATGAATATTGAGATTATTTTTTAATATTATTTGAGGAGATAAAAAATGATGCAAATTTGCTGGAGAGGGCATTTTCTCATGTTTTCAAGAGTTTTTCTATTTTGTATTTTAATAAGAGGTTGTTTACAAATATTCTAAGAATTATTGGTTTGTCTTGTAATTTGCAACTATAAATATAGTACCTCATGAAAAGCATCATGTAGTTAAATTTCTTTACTAGCTCTTTATTATGCGGACCCTTGTCTAGGCCAAAAAGTTTTTCTTCAATGGATGGGTTGAACTTTGAATTATTTCTTGCGTTGAGCCATTTCATAACCTCAGTATCGAAGGAAATTACAAACCGACAATCTTTGAATGAATGGTCGACGGAATCTTTTTCTCCAGAGTATAAGCAGTCGTCATCTGGTTTGATGCCAAAACAGCATAGCTCTTTTTTAGTAACTATAATGTGGTGAATCAGCTTAAACTGAAATTCTTTTAACTTGGTTTCTTCGCATAGATTTTTGATGGAGGTAAATGCTATTTTCCAGGAGTCTTCATTCATATGCATGGATAGATTTTTGTTCCATCATCTGGGATCTGCATGTTCTGCTGTATGGGTCTTCACATTTAATAGTTTGTAAAAGTCGCAGGTTTTGGCCTTATTTAAAACTGATAGAGTCCGGATCTTTTAATTTTATCTCTTTTGTTTTTCCAAAGAAATTTAACTAATTTTGTTTTCACTAAGTGTGCAAAACCTTCAGGAATGTTGAGGATCGAGGATGAGTAAATTAGTTGTGACAAACCAAGTGACTTTAGTATCATCACTAGCAAACAATGTAAGATCTCTTGCTCTCCACATATCAAGTTTTGTTTGCAGCTTTTCAGTTTAAGATTGAAATTCCATTCGCTATTTCCTTTCACCTCATAGGAGACATGTATTCCTAAAATTCTAACCAGGATGCGAAGCCATTTTAGCTGTAGAGGGTTGAGTTTGTTTTTCTCCTACTTTCCAAGCCAAATCCCTTTGGACTTTTTTACATTTAGTTTTAAGCCAGCTAGTACACCAAACTTTCTAACTGTTCTTAGTGCATTTTCAGTGGAGGTCAAATCAGCAGAAAGCAGGTTTGTATCATCTGTGAATTGACTCACTTTAATTTTGTTCCCAAATATTTTGATGCCTTTTATACTTGGGTCTTGTCGGATCTTATTTGATAATACCGTATTTTCCCGTGTATAAGTCGACCTTTCAAGACCTAAAAATCAGTCCAAAAATTCGCCCTCGACTTATACATGGGTCAAAACTTNGGATCGACTAATACACGGGTAAATATGGTAGTTCTACCGATAGAACAAATAGATAAGGTGAGAGGGGGCATCCTTGTCGTACACCCCTGGATGGTTTGAACCAATTCGTAGTAAAGCCATTATTTATGACTGCACTCTCAATATTTGTGTAGAAAGTACTTATCCACCATTTAATCCTAGTTCCAAAGTTAAAGATATCTAAGGTATTCATTGTAAATGACCACTCTAGAGAATCAAAAGCTTTCTGGAAATCTAGCAAAACTAAGATACTGGGTGTGTTTTGCGACTTTGTATGTTCCATGATACCAATAATTAATCTGATATTTTGCCCAATAATATGCCTTTGATAAACCCTGTTTGATCTCAATGCACCAGGTTTGGAAGTGACGATTCTATTTGTTTGGCAATGACCTTAGCTGCCACCTTACAATCTACATTTAGTAATGTAATTAGGTGCCAGTTGGATAATTCTAAGAGTGATCCGTCTTCTTTTGGAATTAAGGTGATGACTCCTCGACGTTGGGAAATGGAGAGTTCATTTGCATCATATGCAGCATTGCAAGTCGCGACCAGGTCCTCTCCCAATAATCCGATAAAATACTTATAAACTTCAATGGTGAATTAATCTTCCCCAGGAGTTTTATTGGCCTGGAAAATATCTAGGGCTATTTTGCATTCCTTGAGAGTTATTAGTCCTTCCATTCTATCTCTCTCCTCGTCCGTGAGTTTGGGTATATCCAGATGTTCAATGAAGTCATTCAAATCATTGTCATGTGTATTGTACATGTATACAATGTTTTATAATACCTTTCAATGGCTCCAAGAATCTTCTCATCATCCTCTATACAGAGTTCCCTTTTGATTTTTTTGTTGTGATTCTTTTTTTCGAGGTTAACTTTTCAACTTACTAGCCTAGTGGATAGTGACAACTTAGATGTTACTAGCCAAAAAAAAAATTTACTAGCCAAGCATTAATGTTGGCTTGGTCCAATAACAGCAGAATTACTAGCAAGACTTGAAAGCACAACGCAAGTAACTCTTTAATACATATTGTTGGTAATTACATTGTACTTAAACCAGTTCCAGTTCCACAACGTGAAAAATATAAAAGAGCGCATTAGCATTTTGGCGGTGGACGTTTTAGATTTACACCTTCTTCCTGAGCAGGTTGTTTCATTTCAGAACTCTCGTTTTTGGGCTTTTTCTTTTTTACTGCTGGTAAAAAACCCTCTTATATCCATTTTCAAATTTTAAGAAAAACAAAACAATGTTATGTTGCATCTGAAACCTCTTGACCAGTTGACATATAGTTGGCACACCTTGTGTCTTGCTTGACTGGTAACGTTAAACACTAGGGCAAACCAATTTATCACCGAATTACGCCAGTTTTAATTTTAATTGCCTCATGTTTTCCTCACATCAAATCTCTCAGGCCAACAGATCACAAAGAAAAATCCAGCAATTTTCCCAAAAAGACTTTCAGCACTCTGTTTTTCTTTGAGACTTCATTGGAAAAATATTGAGGCCCCAAGATGTTATTGTAAAAACTGTGGAGACTTCTTCAGTCTCTTCACAGACAGGAGCTGTAGAATTCAAACTGTTTCAAATGCAGGGTTAACGAAACTTGAATGCCTTTCTCGTGTAATTATTTCTGCAGTGGTAAGTTTCGTCAGTATGGACATAATGACAAATCCCCTATGTGTTATTACACCAAATGAAATGTCATCCCTTTACAGTTCTGCACGATTTTGCACATGATTTTATCAGGCTGCACATGTTTTGTGCACAGTGCTACTAATTTTGTAACAAAAGAAGAACATCGATGTATGCTTTCAGAAAATGCTGTCTTGTTTGTCAAATATTTCTTTCAATATAATATCAAGTTCAGTTTTTATACCCTTTCAAGTACCACACAGCAAAAAGTAAACATGATGTGTCCAGGATGAAATTTTGACCTTGTTTCCGAGTAAAGTGTTAGTGTTTGACTTACTTGAGGAACACAGAAACTAGTTCAGCCAATTTCATTTTGTTTACTAGCCATAGTGGCTAGTGGAAGTCAAAAACGTACTAGCCAGATCTAAATTTCTACTAGTCTGTGGCTAGTTGGCTACCGTTAGTGTTGAGTCCTGTCAAGATTGACAGCTTATCTCCAGATCTTGATCTCTTGCACGCAAGCTATTTATAGCCCCTGTGATGGGAGAATACAAGTGTTGCCATTGAATGAAGATGGCGAAATCAATTGACTCATCAGACTCTTCCGTGCTGGGTCTGTCAAAGGTTTACTCATGGTTAAAATCTCTATCTCCATGCCTAATACTGGAGCATCTTTCAACACAATTCGAAGATAGAGGCTTTAGATCAAGAAGGCTAGCATAATTTATGTGAAATCAAAAGACCTCGATGCCTTCTTCCCATCTCCAGACAAGCTATTGTTAGCCGAAAGGCATGTGTTGGAAGCTAAACTGGAGAACATACAAAGTGGAACAGCACCGTGCTCGACCAAAAAGATTAAAAATGACCCACAATTTAGAGAGCAATGCCTATGCAGCCAATTGTAGCACACAGACACTCAACTCAAGCATCTATGGCAGATTTTCTAGCATACTACAAGCACTAAACTGTACTGAGTGACTAGTAACTCATCTCTCTGAAGATTTCCATTATAATGTTGATGTTGTTTTCCCAATTGTAAACAGTGTAATGTTATGTTGTGTTCCTAATGTTGTTTTGCGTCCTCTGCTGAAATTAATATGTTGTTTCATTTTTTCCTTGTTGAATGACAAAGTGTAGTCTTTCTTTCAGAAAGTGCCATATGATTATAGTTTCACTGGTAAAATATCCTGCTATTGTAAGAAGCAGACTGACCATGATTGATAAAAAATGTGGAAAAAATTTGGAAAAATGTCTCCACTGTCGTGTGAAATTACAGCACCACTTTGAAAATAATGTGGAAAAAAGGAAGGAAAAAGCGTCTCGGCTGTTGCATCAACTTGCGGCTGTGATGGGCTAGTTCTGAAAAAAGTAGCAAAATAAGTGGAAAAAAGTACAAATAAAGTGAAAATAAAGCCATAGTGTTCATGGTTCGAGTGTCCGCACTGTAACTAGAGAATGTTGGTCAGTAAACAAATGCCTAGAAAGAATGTTCAGCTAGTTAACAGGCATAGTGAACAACAGTATATTTATTTTACCTGTACGTGAGTTACAAATGATTATGTTGTTCGGCTTCCCTCTGGTCTGAGTTCATTGACAGTAAATTAAAAATAACAAACAGAACTTAGCATTGACACAGAGCCTGAATTATGAAATTTTGCAAACCAAAGTGCATTTCCCTTTGGGCGAGCGAGAAGATTTTCATGAACACAGATCCAAAGGGAGCTTTAAAATTGAATACAGGCCAAAATTTAAGCTTGTTCTTTTGTTTACGTTTTGAATTCATGCTGAGTCAACGTCAAAACATGACATAACAGTCATGCAAATGTATATCAGAATTCTTTTTTTCGGGAAAAAGAAATATATTCCGAAACTTCTTTGATCTAATTGGTAATGGTTGGCTTTGCTGCATTTTTTTTGGAAAGTTCAAGGGATTTTTTGTGTTGAATTCCTTGGTTTTCCCGGGTCATGTTACATGTAGGTCGCCTGTCTCGATTGCGCGTGGTTG